ACAATGCAGACGATACTCTTCTGACGTAATTATTCGCTACAATAAAGACAATGAATATGATAATGTCATTGTTGTTGATTATTATCAACTACAATAAGATCATCAAAAACGAAGATCAGAATAATAACGAAATAATGATCCATAACAATGAAAGCAAATGACAGATAAATGGGTAATGAACAAAGAAACCAAGGCAAGCAGATGGTATGAAAGTAAGTAATTTTTAAAGTAGATTATGGGAATGCAGACAAGAATACAACAGAAATGTAGACTGTTTGGGTATTATAAAAAAGTAACCGTGAAAGATTGAAATGAACTTAGATATGTTAGGAAGAATTCGAAAGGAAATAACTAACTATAAAGCAGAAAGCTATGCTGAGACAGCTACAGGTAAAACAACATTGACATTGTTGAAAAAAGGTCATCAGAAGAGTGAAATTATTTATAGCAGATCAGAATAACACCAAAAGAACCAATTCGATGACATGAAAATAAAAGAGATGTTTATAAATAAACATCCAACCGCCCGTCTTGGAATAAGTGAATTCGGCAATTTTGATTCATAAAAAGAGATAAAAAAAAAGGAAGCATGAATGGGTGGGAAGAGTGAAAGTCAATATAACACATACAGACATCGTTAACAGTGAAAAGAAGAATTGTCAGATGAGTGACATTACTGCCGAGTAAATTTGAAAGAAAATTAAAAAAATATATCTACGCTCGTGAAACGGAGTTGAAAGCAAACGAAGCGAAGTTGACAACAGTGCTCATCGCTTGGAAGTTTCTGTAGACTCTGCGGTCGGAAGAACATAACCTCGATTATTCTTCAAATATTGAAGAATAATAGAAACTATTTTGACAAGGGAGTTATTGAAAACAACGAGAATTCTGAGGAATGGGATAAAACTTTGGAACGCTATACTGTTATTTGATCTCCAGTATAATTCACCAGATACTACTACTCATCGAGTGTAATATATAACAAATACAAATACAGTGTAACCCGGATGTAAGAGAGTTGTCGGGACCGGAGAGGAAGTCTCTTATATCCGGCTTTCTCTTATATCCGGGTTTGATCTATTTTATATACATTAACACAGGCTCTAATTTGGGACCAGATAAAATCTCTCTTATATACGGGTTTCTCTTATATCCGGGTCTCTTATATCCGGGTTACACTGTATATGGAAAATTGACGAGACGACTTCTATAAATTGTCGAAGAAATGTAATAGGCATGTTCGCGCAGAGGACACTTGAAGAGAAAAAATATAAAAGACAATCATTAGATACTAGAAAAAAAAAACAAACAAAAAACCATAAAGACGAAGAGAGACAAGATATAGCTTTATTTATAATATTTTTACCCTTGTTCCTCTAGCCGTCGCACAGCTACAATTTTCCTCCACTTTGATCAATTCTGGGCAAGTTGCAGAGCTTTGAACTTTTTCTTCAAGGTAAGTGAAGTTATCAACTTCCACAATATGGTGCTCTTCTAAATGTTTAATGTTGTCATCTAAGTTGCAAATCCTTTGGATTCTTTTCAGAACTTATTCTCAGTCCAAACTTATAACTAACTACCTTCAATGTCTGTTATATTTTGCATTTGTCAGCAAATAAAACTAAATCGTTAACTCTTTCTCGGTCAATGTATACCAAACTGTGGCTTGTGCGTTGATTTCCGCATTATATAATCCATTACTACAAGGAAGGAAAGGCATGGCAGAATACACCCGTGTGCAAATTAATTGAAACAACCGCTTTAGTTTCCTTTCTTTCACCATATGGTCAGTTTTAGACCCAGTGGAATGGCAGGGTATAATCGATTTTTATTTTTTCCTCAAGTTAGGTCATTTGCAGTGGTGTGCAGTAATGTGAATCTATTTTAGGAGTGTATGATGAAATTTGTTTGGCCTTGAAAAATAATCATCCGTGATTGCATCAGATTTTTATCACACCCAGACACTATTGTCTCGACTGTCGATTAGTTGTCCTACGGCCATTGTCTGCGATAGACGTTACATCAAGGAAGCGAACGAAAATTTTAACGTGGATCGAATACAATGACAAGCCTTACCAGTGAGCAAATCAAAGTACTATAGTCTGGCCTGGAAACTCTCCAATCCAATCGAGAATCTGTGGTCAATCTGCAAGGAAAGACTTCTTCGAATGGACATACGAAATACATGTGCACAGGGTCATGCTTTTATAGGAAAAATACGAAATAATAACAGAATTATTCGTTTTATTTCAATTAATTTACATAAGGGTGTTAGTGAGTATGTACTGTTAAGAAAAAAATTTCTTACATTTTTACAAATTTAATTTTTGTTTTTAATATTTGGGAACTTACACTAAACAGAAAACCTGACGGGAGAACTGGTTTAGTTAACTTTGTCCCGATCTTTTGTAATTACTATATTAGTTGTTTTTATTGAAGGTCGTTCTAATTTGCTAAAATGTTAATTACACGTGATAATTTAAGAAATTATGAATTATATTAAATTAGTTACTTTATTTAATATGACAATTATACAACTATTTACATTATTTGGACTATTGTCGTCATCTTTGTCGCCATATTTATTACAACGTTTCGACCGTTGTACGCTCCGGCCTTCTTCAGGAGGTTGGACTATTTACTATTTACCACCTGAAGAAAGCCGGAGCGTACAATTGCGGAAACGTTGTAATATATATGGCGACAAAGATGGTCTGAATATTTTGGATGAAATGAAGCTAAAATCAAGATGAAAAAAACACTATTTTTAATAATGGTTGACGTTTTATTGAGTAAAATTCCAGGTATATGGGTGCTCGCTTGGGAATAGCAAGTGCTGTAAGCTTGGATGTGCGGGTGGTGTAATGGATAACGGCTTGGAATTGAAAATAGAAGAGCTGAGTTCGAATTTCAGTCGGGTTCGTTATATTCAGTTACGCGCAAATACACTCTGGAAAGGTATAGATCGCCTCACTATTCTCCCCCAGTTATGGGTTAATTAGTAGAATGTGTATCAGTAAAAATCATTATTATCCTCCCCGCAAATTCTTACATTCTAAAAAATATTGTCTGGCTTTAAATAATCTGCAAAAGTTTGAGAATCCGTAAAAGAAAAAAACAAATCAAGGACCCTATTCTTATAAAAACTAGTTAAGCTCCAGTGTTCTTCCTTGTTCAGTATTTTTAATTTATTTCAAAGGGGATAATGACGAATCTTTTCATTGTAATGAAAAGATTAGGATAATAGTTCATATGTAAACAATATAAATAATGATAATTCTTCATCGGAGAAATACATGCAGAAGGAAATTATGTTGAAAATAAATAATATAAAATAAAGGATATTTTTTCATTATTTGGATCTTTGAACTTACTGATATACCAAAATAATGTACGAAATCTGCTCTCGATAGATTTCGTTATTTTAAAACTTCCAAATGATAACAGATAGATCCTAGGACATTTTTGTAGAGTTAGCTGTCATTGCATTATATCATAATTCTGAAATTCGCTTTGGGCAGAGTTATTCTTTGTGATTATTATCTGATATGTCCCGGGAAGGGATATATTTGTTCGAAGTAGCTAAGTGGTTTTAGCTATTATAACCGAGTAGGACAATCTAGCAGGTAATCATAATGGACTGGTCCTCGTCGTAGTGGTGGGCAATAGGCGTAGTCCATGTACCTCCACATCAGTCTGTATTTATGACTGACACCAGCCAATCATAATACTGTGAGGGGGAACCCAGGTGTATGCATATTCATTACATCATTATCAAAGGCAGTAAATCTCGTTTTCATTTTCTTTATTGTAACGAAAAATTATCGCAAAATTATTGTTGAAAGTACATAAAAGTTTTTCATAACAGAAGCCCTATTTGTTTTCGGCAGTATTGATTTTCAAATCAAGCCGGAAAAATGATTATGTCAGCTGAATTATTCAGGCTTTTTCAAAATCCTAAAGATGAGTGCTTTCTCAATTTAGTTATATGCGATCATGTATCTTTCGATACATGACTGACCAGGCAGATTTTCCCCCGCAGTAGGTTGCCATTTCTTTCTGCCAGTAGACCAGTTTTCATCCAAGGCTGTATAATCCAGTATGTCCTGCTATTTACGCATATCTGGGTGGGGGAGAAGAAGAAGATTCACACCTTTCCCAAGGGTATTAGCACCTAAACGAATGAAATGGATTCGACTGGAATTCGAACTCGGCTCTCCGATTCCTCAATCGGAGCCGCTATCAATTACTCCACCGTGCTTTCTACGGAACATATTAAAACTGGATATTTTTGAGTTTAGAGTGTCGGAACGAAAAGTTTCACTTATACTTACAATCAAAAGGAGACACTTGAAATGAAGGAAGTAGTGTTAGAGAATTTAGCATTCACAGAACACAATGAAGGCAAATGAAGCAGGGTACGACATTAGGTAACTTTCATAACGAATCTGTGTGAATGGATAGCAGGTTGATTGATTGATTTATTTATTATGGCTTATCAACGTTTTGCAGGTTATTTAAAGCCAGAAAATATTTTGAGATTGTAAGAAAATTTTTTGCAGATATAATGGTTTAGTGATGTAAGTTTTTACTTTTTAACCTATAGAGGGGGAGATGTGGATTCATACCTAATCAGAATTTGATAAATAAACAAGTAATTATGTGGATATAAAGTGGGGGATCAATTCTCTATTATAATCACTATATAAATTGACCCCCACTTTTTGGCCATAATAGTTTCCATACATTTATATCCCAGAGAATGTAAATAAATCTAAAAGACATGCCGGGGTAGCTAATCAATATTAAAATGTTTTAGATTATAAGAATTTTATGGAGATAATAATTATTTACTGGTACAAGTCCAACTAATTAACCCATAGCTGGGGAATAATTGGTGGGTTTTATTCCTTTCCTATCCGGTATTTGCAGGTAAGTGAATATAACGAACCCAACTGGAACTGGAACTCGGCTCTCCCATTACACCCGCACACCAAAGTTTACAGCACTTGGTCACCCAAATGGTCACTCATCTAGATACGGAGCAGGCTTGACATTGCTTAACTTCGTTGATCTTACGGGAACCGGTGTTTCAACGTGATATTGCCGTAAGCTGCAAATGGGTGGCAGGACTGGGTCATAAAAGGATGTTAAAGAGTCAAAAAGACAGGAAGTTGTGGAGAGCCATGATCGTCTACGTCCTGGAGGTAGATGGGCCACAAAAATTCATTTATTTTATTATTAATTAATGATTTTACTGAGTTTTATTTTATGGACAGAATCGTTTAAAAACAGAAAGCAAATGTTACTGCGTTTCTTTTTTCGTCGGCTAAATCTCATCTACCGATATTAAAACAATATTGAGATCTCGATGTACGGTAAACACTGATAAAATCATAACAAAATTTAATCTATCAGCAATCCGATACCTCGTTGACCGGATATTAAGAGCAAAGATCGACTGAATCCGTTGCCCGGGGGATTTCTCTTTTGATCTATGAGTCTCCATTTCTCTCTGAAATGAAAACAGACTGAAGTACAGTCAAGAACACACTGTAAATTCCAGTGTTCTGCCTTCATATTTGATGTGTGTCTTTGGAGTCGCTGTTGCATCAGTACTTTTCTAGTTAGGCAATTTGGTTTGGTATGGTTTATTTTGTTTAACGGCATATCAACCTCAATGGGTTATTTAATGCCGATTACATTTTTAGAATAGATTCGTCTGAATAGAATATGTATTCTTTGGCTTAGATTGGTTTGGTTTATTTTGTTTAACGGCATATCAACCTCAATGGGTTATTTAATGCTGACAAACATTTTTATTGCTGTTAATATTTTGTTTTGTCAAAAATTTGTTTCTGGTAATATATTTCCTTCAACATTGTACTGCTGGTAATAATTTTTTTTTAAAAGTATTGCTGGTAAGGGTTAACTATATGTCCATAGCTGGGACCCTAACAGGTGCTACCACACCGGGTGAGGGTGAACCTGGGAACACCAGCAATTAAGAGGTGGTTCTACGCTCCTCAAAACCTTCTTATCAGATGCCTTGCTGCTGGACTTAAACGTCTTACCCATGACGCGGATGTAGTTTAACGTCATACCCAGGACGACTAGGTCGGCGAGTAACAATATTTTCGCTCAATAGTCGCGTCACAAACGAGGTTATTCTCAGTAAAACCGATTAAAGAATAAAGTGATTTTCCAAGCGTAGCCTAGATGTGGCACAAAGCCGAAAATAGGAGGCACCCAGTGAGGATCGAACTCACTCGTAATTGTTCTAGCGAGACAAGCTTGCTAACTATTACACCGCCTCAAGGTGCCCTTAATTGATTTTCTAAGCTAGCTTAGATGTGGCACAAGGTCGAATGTCTGGGGCACCCATTGAGGATCGAACTCACTACTCAGTCGTAATTGTTCTAGCGATACAAGCTTGCTAACCATTACACCGCTTCGAGGTTCCCTTAAATGATTTCCTAAGCGTAGCTCAGATGTGGCACAGGGCCGAAAGTATGGGGCACCCAGAGAGGATCGAACTCACTATTCAGTCGTAACTGTTTTAGCGAGACAAGCTTGTTAGCCATTACACCACACCGAGGTGCCCTAAACCCGGTTAAAGAATAAAACAAGGAACACTTGTGCACTTTATCCTGAGGTTCAATGTTAAGTACTGAATTTTCTCAGCTTCTTCTAATTGACTTAGTTATAATGACGATCGTATTTTCCTGTGTATAATACGATTTTTCTTCTGTATATTACTACCCCGTTCTTTTGAAGCTAAAAATGGAATAAGTTACATCCTTAAGTTTAACACGATCCAGTATTACAGCCATACCACTGTAAGGTATTTATTTCATCAATTTACACATGAAGTCGGTATGAAATATGAAGGTAATTATTTCATCAATTGAAAAATGAAGTCGGTATGAAATATGAAGTTAATTATTTCATCAATTTGACACATGAAGACGGTATGAAATATGAAGATATTTATTTCATCAATTGATATATGAAGACTGTATGAAATATAAAGGTATTTATTTCATCGTTTCACATATAAAGATGGTATAATGTTATTTATTTAATCAATTGACAGATGTTGACGGTATGAAATATGAAGGTATTTATTTCGTTAGTTGACACACAAAGACAGCATGAAATATGAAGGTATTTATTGCTTTTATTATTGGCCGAAGTCCTACTGAAATCTTTATACTCACATTTCTATCCTCATCTCTCTTTTTTGTAGTCTTACTTTTTTAATTAGATCCATCTGATTATTACATAACAGACTTTTGTAGATGACGATAGGTGACTGATTAACACAAAAACGATCGTCCACGCCTGTTTGACAGCATAATAGTGGAAGCCAATTAAAAAAAAATACATTACAGTCTAACGTCTGGTATATAACTACAAAGAAATTTGGACGAAGTTTCAAAATTTTATGAGTTTAAATTATACAGTTGTCAAGTAACTGAAGTTTTTTTTTCTTAAGTATATCACTCCAAGCAAGGCGGGAGTGCCACTAGCACGCAAGAGGTTACAGAGGATTGAGAGCAAGAGTAAAGAGGGGGTGTTTGGGGAAAGGATATAAAGAAAGACGGAGATCAGGATCAAGGCATCAGAAGATATCGATTGACATTACATTTGAAGATTTGAAGATTATAGCCATCAGGGAAGCAAGTAAGAGGAAGGGAGCTCCACTGTCGGGAAGTGCAAGATAAGAAGCTGCTGGAATAGAAGAGATGGCTACATGTAATCTTTTCGGCAGTGAAAGGGTGGGACCGAGATGCCAACTTTCGAAAATGTTAATTTAGTCACCCTCATTTTTAGTCCTATGTCTTGCGAAGTTAAAACGATTCATCAAGAACGGAATACGAGCCGATGTAGAAAAACACTCGGGAGTATTATGTGAAAGTGGAAAACAATAATGCATGACTTTCAGTGAAAAGAAGCCTGAAGCAAAAGTTTCTCAAGTGATTGTTCAGTGCGTATTTTGATAGTGCAAAGTTTTATTAAAACGAACCCAGGAATTAAGCGTAGAGCAAAAGGAAGTGTCTGTTTTTGTAATTGACTGAGAATAGGTTCTGCTGGCTTTTGATTGTTGAATTATTTTGAACCGTTTTCTTTTTGCCGCCAGCAAATTGCATACACGGCTAAGACGGTGAGGACGAAGTAGAAAGAACTAGAAAACAAAGCACAAACGGTAATCAAAAGAAAAGAAATAGTATTAATAGTAGTAGTAATAGTAATGTTAGAAGGGAGTAGTGGGATAAGTAGAAAATAGATAAATGTCAATAAATATCTATATCTATAATTCTCAAAATGTGTCTGTCTGTATGTATGTGTGTGTGTGTGTGTGTGTGTGATCGGATGTTGTTTATGGGTTTCCACAGTTTTCATCCGATTTTGATTAATTTTTTTTGTTTGATAGATAATTCTTCAGTGTCGGTTTTGAGTCCATTTTGTCGGCAAAAATGGCCCTCCACTACTTCCTGTCCATTATAATTCTCAACAACGTTTTACTATTTACTATCTGTTCTTGAATATATATGTTTCATAAAAAGCTTTAATGTAAATAGTTTCAATTATTAAAATAATATAATTTATTATTATACAGTTAAATATATAAAAATTATCTATATCTATAATTCTCAAAATGTGTGTGTGTATATATGTGTGATCGGATGTTGTTGATGCGTTTCCACAATTTTCATCAGTATTTCGATGATTATTTTTTTTGTTTGATAGATAATTATTCAATGGCGGTGTTGAGTTCTAATTGGCTGAAAAAATTTACAACCTTGAAGGTTAAAAATCGAAGAAAACTGATTTTTTACACTTTGCGCAAAAATTAAAAGGCGAAATTTAATGTCTGTAAAAATAGCGTACAATTTAATTTAAAGAATTGAAATCTATTGCAAAAGATTATTAGAATTATAAAAAAAATTATATTATGAATAATAATTATCGTATATTATAATTATGCCAGTCCATGGAAGAGGTTCCTTCCTTACAAGATTGAGAACGCAAAAACTGCCATTTTTCGGGCCACCTTCCATTAAAATTATTAACCCCCACATTTGGGGATGTGCTCGAGATTTTTTTTGGGTGGGGGTTGTTTTTTTTTAAGTATTTCACCCCAAGCAAGACGGGAAGCCACTAACACGCAAGGGGTTACAAAGGATCTGGAGCGAGAGCATATTGAAGGGATAGAGGAAAGGATGAAGAGGATAGTGGATAAATCAGGGCATCTGGAGAAGTCGATTGACATTACATTTGAATAGTTGGAGATTGTAGATATCAGCGAAACAAGAAAAGGGAAGGGAGTTCCACAGGCGAGAGGTGCGAGATATGAAGCTATTGGAGTAGAAGAGACGGTTACATTTAACAGTTTCGACAGTGAAATGGTGAGAGCGGGATGCCAGCCACGTAGGACGCTTGAATTCATGAAGTCTGGGAACCAGCGAAAGCAGCTCATCAGAGCAGTTACCATGAAAGTATTTGTAAAAAAGACAGAGAGAGGCGACGGCACGTCTGTGAGAGAGCGGCTATAGACGAGATACCAGATCAGGGCCAATTATATTGCATATCCGTTTCTGGATCTTGTCAAGAACCCCGAGGCAAACAGAAAGGTCTAAGGACCATATATGGCAGCAATACTCAATGGTTGATTTGTAGATTTGAAGGATTGATTCCGGGGAGAAAAATTTCCTGGCGCGGGACAGGGAGCCAACTTTCCTTGCGGTGGAAGAAGCAATTGACTCAATGTATTTGTTCCATCTCAGGTCAGCAGTCAACGTGAGACCGACCAGCCGCAGAGAGGTGCTCTCAAGAAGTTGAGCGTCAGACATACTAATGGGGAGGGGGACAGGGAAGGATCTCTGTGGTGATTAATACAGAGCAGTTTTGTTTTTGAAGCGTTAAAGTTAACCAGCCAATTGCTACCCCAGTCCACATCTGATTGGAGGTCCTTTTCGAGACGAACGGCCAGGTTAGTTTTGTCAGCGACACTAGATTTGTTTTTGAGGCAGGAGTAAATTGTAGTGTCATCCGCGTAGATGCCTACTTGGGAATCTATGACGTCAGGAAGATCGTTAATAAAGATA